AGAGGTATCTCGGGCAAGATACTCTCCTGGACTAATGACTACCTTCTCCATCGCAAGGCAAGAGTCAGATTCCAGGAGCACTACTCAGTTTTCAAGGTTTTTGAAAATGGTACCCCCCAAGGAGGGATTTTAAGTCCCTTCTTGTTCAATCTCCTCATAGCAGAACTCCTTGCCATTCAACTCCCTCCGCCACACACCTTTTCGCCTATGCTGACGACCTCCAACTGATCGCCACTGGCGCCTCTCGATTCCCACATGCTCAGCAAGCTCTTGATCTCATAACCAGAAATGTCACACCCTAGGACTTAAGTTAAACTCAAACAAGACGAGCTCTACAAATCAGACGCTTCATTCCCAACCACCATCTGTACATAGAAACCAATAAGATAGAGTGGGTCACCTCCCACAAATGCCTCGGAATCATTCTCAACACTCAAAATGATTCCTCCTCAATTAAAAAACCTGGACAAAACCAAAGCAAGAATCAATGTCTTACGATGTCTCACCACAACAAGATTAGGAGCTGGCTTCCATGTCTTAAGATCATTCTATGTACACGCTATCCGGTCGCTCATAGACTACAGCTCCTTTTCCCTACTGTCTCTCACCCCAGCCCAGGTTAATAAACTTGAAACCATCCAAAACAGTGCATGCGTGTCATCCTCGGGCCCCTAGGTGGACGCGCCTCGTGAACCTGCGTCTGGAGGCCAAGTTAGTTCCCCTACATATAAGAATCCAGCAGATTGTTGCAGGTCATGTCTGCAAGATAGTCTCCAATCACAGACAGTCACCTCTGGGAGATTCTCTAAGACGGATCCTAGACACCCCTCAAGCCCCTCATCGCCGCGTTCTTCCCTGGCATCATGAAATCCATCAAAGCGTCACCTCCTTCAACCTCCTTCCTGCTCTATTGTCCCGCGGCATTGATGCACCACACCATGGATATGCAGAACCAAATCCCTGGGAACCACCACTTGCAGCTTTTCTAATTAACAGTCTCCCGAGACCTAAGAAGAATTGCTCTCCAAATGACCTGCAGAATCTACGAGAGACTATCTCTTCAATTGAGAATGACAGAGACACGACTGTCATCTACACTGATGGGTCTGTTGATCCAGAATCAGGCAGAGCCGGAGGTGCATTTCTTTGCAATGACTATGTACAGGCATCGAGACTCAGCAATGATTCCTCCATCCTCCAGGCAGAACTGTTCGCCATTCGATCAGCATTGACATATGCACTCTTCTGTACAAAATCTACAGTATGTATTTTCACGGACTCCCTCTCTGCCATTCACACCTTACAGAACCGCGCTCACTTGGACAATGTTTACTTAGCAACATCAACTCTGTTCAAGCTACAACAGCTGACTCAACAAGGCAAGACGGTCCGAATAATGTGGATTCCCAGTCATGTCGGATTAGAAGGCAATGATCGTGTAGACTCTGCAGCCAAATCCAGCCTCCACCAAACTCGCTTACAGCCGATTAAACCAAGCATCAGCCAAATCAAAAACAGAGCCAAGATTACAGCAAAGCAAATTACACTCATCCAACACCAAGTCTGGGTTCAAGCAGGTTCACCTTCGGCGACCTGGTACAAAACTGTCACAGAATATGAAACCATCACCATCCCCCGTTCCATGTCTAGGAAGGATGCTGTTATCATCCACCGGCTACGGCTAGGCTATCCTTGTAGCTGGGAGATTGACGAACGAGTGCCAAAAGAGTGTAATTATTGTCAGACTGTGGTGAGCCATCCACTAACACACTACCTACTAGACTGTCAGGCACTCTATCACATTAGACACCACAATTTCAGCGATGTACCAAACAGAGAAACCTCACAGAGAAGCACTGTAGCAGCAACTTACGCCCGCACCATACTTGACTCAGAGGAATCTTTCAAAACAATCTCTGCGGCACCTCCCCCAAGATAAACTTTAACCAAGGTAAACTCAATACAAATCAAACTCAGAATAAGATCACTTAACTAGCACCAATAACCGGGTGGCGAAAGCGGAACCCGGACTACCTAACTCACGGGTAGTGAATGGGGGAAAAAAAAAAAGTCACTTCGGAGCACAGCTTTGGATGATAAGGCCTATGGCGTCACCGAGCATGAGCTGAGAGCGAGGGGGGCGGGGGGGGGGGGAAATAGAGCATGGTAGGGTGGGAAGGAGATAATAGAAACGGTAGCAAATGAGCAGACACTTAAGTAATTTTATATTCCGGCATATTGAATGAACGATTTGCAGATTTAGTTGATTAGGTCTATTTCGCATTCAGTTTAGTAATGTTCATTCTGCGATGATAATGATGGTAATAATAATCATTATAATAATAATAATAATAATAATAGCAATAGCAATTATAGTAATGATAATAGCAGTAATAATAATGATAACATTAGTAATAATAATGAGAGTAATAGTAATAATATTTATTATTATTATCATATTATCATTGTAATTATTATAATTATCAATATTATCATTATATATCATATTATCATTATCATTATCATTATCATTATCATTATCATTATCATTATCATTATCATTATCATTATCATTATCATCATTATTATTATTATTATCATTATTATTATTATTATTATTATTATCATTATTATTATTATTATATTATTACATTATTATTATTACATTATTATTATTATCATTATTATTATTATCATCATCATTATATTATCATATTGTGTTATTATTTTATTACTACAATTATTATTATCATTATCATAAGTAACATTTTTATTACCGTTACAACATTTACTATTCTGTTATTGTCATTGCAACCATTGTCATTGTTATTTTATTGTTGTTATCATAATTATATTAGTAAAGATGATACTAATACTACTAGTGATAGCCATAATACTAAAAATGATGATAATGATAATAATAATAATGATGGTAATAATAATGATGATAATAATAATGATGTAATAATAATGATAATAATAATAATAATATTATCAATAATGATAATAATAATATTACCAATAATAATGATAATAATATTACCAATAATAATGATAATAATAAAATCAATAATAGTGACAATGACAATGACAATAATAATAACAATAACAATAACAATAACAATAATAATAATAATACTTATATAGACCTTGATAGTGGCAACTGAGGTGCGAGAACGCGTATGAGTGTATGTATTGTGTACAGAAATTTCTTCCAAAAAATTGCTTAGTATATTTTTGACTATTATCATTACATACATTAGCACTGAAAGCAATCATTTTTCTTAAACCTTACTTGAATATTTTCATCTAAAGACATGTCCACACAATTGGATATATCCGAGGGTTGTGTCCTCACCTGCCAAATTCTGTTGGCATATTCATGACTGTTGCCCACTCATTTGAGATGATGAGTAGCCAGAGACAACGATTAATAATAGCCAGTTCTGCGCCTTCTTTCTCTCACACTCACACTCACACATATATTACTCCCGCCTGTCGAGCATGCGTGACTGTGTCCGTGGCTTAACATTTGGGCATAATACTTTCTTATTTTTCATTCACAATGTCAGTAACAATGTGATATGCCATATAGGTTGGAAACTAGGATGATTGTTTGCACATCAAAAACATATGAATTTTTATTGTTCTCGGTAACACTTCTCATGAGATCTGAGGAAAACCAAAAACAAGATCTGTTGGTATATTTTGTCTACAAAACATACATTCATATTTGTTGATTTGTGAAGTCCTTGTTTACCTTCATGAAATATGCAAGTAGAAATGCCATATAATGTTTTTCATCTATCTATTTTTTTATTATGTGAACTTGGTGCAATCGTTGCTAACTGCTACATGTTAGATTTCTTAATCTGATTCATGAAACTCTAATTTTGTTGCATTTAATATTCCCAATCTCTGATAATCACCGTTTCTGTAAAAAAATGAAACCATTCTTCACTGAAGTTCACTCTTTTTCCCTCGGTTCCTTCATACAGATGATAATACCCTTTAATCTAATTTATTTTCATATACCAAGCTGATACGTGCATTCAACTTGTACATTCTGCTCAGTGTAAATGTGTTGCTGATTATTGATACTTTAAAAGGAAAAAATGAAAAGAAAAACATACTTTACTTCATTATATTTCATAGGCACAGTACACTCATTCTGAATTAAAGTCAAGGATTTCATAATGGAATCATTTCTCAAAAAATTATTTCAATATGTATCTTGCTTAAAATTTTCAGGATTCTAAGATATTTGTAGTACTAGTCCAGTTTTTTTATAGCAAGCAAATCTTTAGTATGCAAGAAATTACAGTTTAGTCAACTTAACTTACAAATATTTGATAGTATTTATCTTTCTTAGCACTCAAGTTAAAATAAAATTTCTAATTACTTTAGCCATCTTAATAATGTTGTTGTTTTTTTTTTTGTTTCATAGTCACCTAATAAACTACTCTTTAGTAATTCAAGTACAACTCCTCTTACACACTTTGTCCTTTATGAAACTGCATATGCATTATTACAAGTGAAAATCTTGTTAAACCACACTTTCCATACAAGAAAATAGTTACTACCAACAATGCACTATGTTCCTAACAATATTTTACTTTCCAGTAAAAGAACTTTTTGCGAATTGTCATACGATACAAAATTGATAACTAACTAAAAGTATCAACTAAATACGTGATGGAGGAAAAATGTTAAGTCGGAAATACTGGTGATGTTATTTTAATTTTTATGCACATGCTTTGTACATTAAAACTTTCCTGTTATCTATTTGTTGACGAAGGCCACATCTGTCACTACTGTATCATCAACAGATGATACACAAAGACAAACAAAATGATGAGCAAATCTTTTCCAAGAAACAATCGCTTTTGTCTAACTGAAATATTTCAATGAAAATTCAATGAAAACAGGGTTATTAACTTTTTTTTTCCACAGATCCTCTCCAATTATAAGTTGCTTCAACAGGAGAAAAAAAAATTACATTTATTGTGTGATTTATTGAATATATGAACAAAAGAAATCACTGATTGTTTCTCCCAGTACAATGAAAGGAAATATCTTATAATACAAAATCATAATGGTGACTCGTGAAGAACTACAAGTGCCACTGTAAACTGCACATCTACATATCTGAATAAAATGGTAGAATCACATGTGATAAAATGAAAGAATAACATACTGGGAATCTACAAAGATTCAAAAAACATACATGGAATGAAGATCAACTTTGTTTTTTTTCTTTTTTGTCATCTTTTTTTTTTACATTTTATTGTTTTCCACTTTTTTTTTTAATACTTTTTTTTTTGGAGATTTATATTTATACATGTCCTACTAGTAGCAAACAGCAGAGGTTATGGTGGAGTTTGTTGGAAAGAGCTTGATATAGGATCAGATCGTAGGATGCCATTTTGATCACTGATGCCATCAGCAAAGTCAAGCCGTGGATCAATAATGCTCATTTTCTTTATCAAATTTAGGAATGCTAAAATAAGCCTTATTGAACTACTATTTAGGGCATACTTTTTGCACATCATAAGAATATGCCGAATGAAATTACAAATGAAACCTCAAACACAAGCACAGGAGAGAACATCTTTGGTCCACAGTTTCCTTATTATATAAAATCACTCAAAGAAAGAAAATATATATATGTTCAAACTATAGAATATCTGCCCAATACAAGTTACATGTTGCTCCAGTCTTTATGGTGAAGTAACAGGAAGCCGTACGTCAATACAGCAATTCGGTGAGTTACTCGTAAGTGGTGCAGCAGTAAGGCACTTACTCTCTGCCCTCTACCTGCCACGAAGCAATTTCCAACCCACTCCACAACAACAAGACTCAGCTTGGGGAAACCAGACAATTCTTGGGTTAAAAAGACTGTACATTGTTCTTCCCTCTAATTCAATCATCACTTCTGACATTTCTGAAAATCAAAACCTGTGAAATACAAAACTTGCAGATATTATTCATTCATAAATAGGGGAAAGAACAATCTGCAATCTATCAAAACCCAACCACAATACAGAAACATTGACCTGTGACAATACTACTCGATCTCATAGAGCATGTAGAAGTGATCACTGTTGGCGGGTGCCATCGGATGGCCAGGTGGAATGGCCTCAAACCCGAGGAACATGAAGGTGCGGATGAGCATAGCTGTAAACCAAATTTAATTTTAATATCAAATTCATGTACGAGTGAGAGCTATCCTAACATCCAGTTATTACTTAATCATAAATACCATTAAACAAAACATGAAAAAATCTTTGCATCTTATATAACACTTATCACAATTCTATTCTAAAATGTAGCTTTAGTAAGAGCAATATTAAAGGAGAGTTGAAGTACCATTTGCAATCTTGCTTTTATCAGTTTGTTTACATAGCTCATAGAAATACTTAAAATAAAACTTAGCAAGTTGAAAAATAAACATTAACACTGACATTCCTTCAGATATTCACTAACCTCGATCACTGCGATCCTTCTTGAAGCAGATTAGCACATGAGAGCAGCCAAGGACTTCCTCAGCATACTCCAGCAGTGACACAAACGCCTCCTTGCTGCCCTCTGGTAAGTGCACAATTGACAAGTAGAGGCGACGGCCAACTACAACAGTTTCCCACACAACCGTTGTCTGCTCCGCCAGTTGGAATTCAAAGCTCAGATGGGCACACCCACTCTGAGCCGCAGACACTACTTCAGTACCCTGAAAGTCAATAATTCAAATTATATTTACCATAACTGAATTATATAGCAATCAACACATTTCAAATGGTCAAGCTAATTACTGAGAACCCAGGTCAAAAGTCTGGCCAAAGCAACACATGCATCTCTCATCAAAACAAAAAAACAAAATAGATATGGCCGCACTGAATAATTCAAGATGATTCACCACTTCAAAAGTTTGCATCATCTATAACATCACAAAGAGAAGACTTCCTTACCGACACAGGTTTGGACCGCGTGCCGGCCACAGGGGGCTCTGATGGTTTCCCCACGCCGCTGCCCTCTGCACTAGTAGACATGTAGGCGGCATGGGGGCATCAAACCCACCACCGCGGCCCTGCACCCAGGTGGACTGAGAAGTGGCGCATGCCTCCCATCATACTACTACACTCCGTGCTGAAAGAGAAAGGTAATTTTAGAGATTTTGGTTTAATTGAGCAAAGATGAACAAATAGGGAGATGGAAAAGTGAAAAAAATATATTGTTAACAACTGATTCTGCACATATATATTGGCTATCTAATGCTATGGCTATCTTTCCAAACATTTAATCCCTATCACTGCAATCAGCTGATTTTTTTCTTATCAATTTATTTTCAACCGCAGTCAAATATCTGAAAAATTCATATATTACAAACAGGATTTTTTCCTGCTTAACTAATAGTATTTTGTTGTAGATAATGTACATACTCTATATAACTCCTGAAGACTGAAGAGTTTGACATGGTACTTGGGTATATCCCAATGGCCGGCACTAGATCACTACACAAATCATGATTTCAACATTCTTCCCTAGCATGAAGGGGATATCTCCTTGATGCCAGGTGAAAATGTTAAGATCACTATGACCTGTTTAAAGGGTAACCAGTGTTTGGGGATATAAATCCTCATGCCAGAAAATGAACTAAGAAAATTTAAAGAGCCAGAAAATGAACCAAGCATCTTTAGACTTTGAAAATTTTATGTCACAAGCCACATTGCTCACAAAGGCAAGAGCAAAGCCTCTTTTCAAAGTGCTTTTATTTGGTGCATAGAGACTTAACCAAATAGATGCCTCATCAAACCTTGGACCATAATGTGGCCTAAAAACTATTCCCTTTGAGACCATCCTAGTCCCACTCCTTTGTAGATTCCCCTCAGTATGAAGATCCCTTCAGTTTGAATGGACAGTATAATAAAATTTAAATCAACTTTTATATTAACCAATTTTGGATCTTACAATACTGCTATAACTGACATATACACGCTTTATACCTGTACAGTGCAACAACTTTTTAATTTTTACTTCAAGGGCCCAAGTCATGAAAATATCTAAGAAAAAATATCAAACAACCATGAATAGGCACACTGACCTCCTTGTTCAGAATTTATTCATTGTGTATGCATATTTCGAGAAACTAGAAAAGGAAAATGGTGTAATCATGGTAATTGTCCAAGTTAACTTGTAAGTGGGGCAGCATATGAAAACGTGAGGGTGAACTGTACAGATTCACAGCTTTGTTCAGCCATTTCACTGACTCCAGATATACTACTATACAATATATTCATCCATTACATCCATTGTATACTATGCCAAATTTCAAATTATTTTGCACTAACATTGAGAATTGCAATATAAATAGTGATACACGATACTTTTTGGTGTGTTAAATATTTTACTAAATCCACACACTGTAAAATATTTTTTCACTATGATTTAAGTTACATTACCTTAAGAAATAGACAAACCTTGCTAACCATGATTTATTATAACTATGAAAAAGAAGTAAATGGCCTCAAAACAAGTTACAGCAAAGCTCAACCAATAATGATATGAAAAAATTCCAATAATAATAATAATTATAATATAATAATAAATAATAATAATAATAATAATAAATAATAATAATAATAATAATAATAATAATAATAATAATAATAATAAAGCAAGAACAACACACTCCCATTCTCAACAGATCGACCATACAAATGTGACCTAGAAAGCCATTCGTACCCAGACCATCCCGCTAGATTTCGCCCCTCGACCGACGCGCGGCCACTCGCACGCATCAGCGTCGCGGGTGCCGGGAGCGAGAACTACAAGCGGTACCTTCCGTGCGCGGTTGACAGAAAGAAGGAAACGTAACGCAAGAATGTGGTTCATCTAGACACCCTAATCCATCAAAGAAATGTGGTTTAAATCTTATTCCTTGATTTGTATTGGGATGAGACGAAGTAAATGCGCTTTCATAACAGGTTACAGTTATTACCTCCCTCATTTCTCAGTATCACCGACCTCACCTGCCCTTGGGGTAGTGGAGAAGACCTCAAGGAAAACCATCTTGTAATCACAGAGCATGGCGATGTATCCCTCTGACGTGGATCTCGAAGCGGAACTGTAGGCTCGCACAGTCTAATACAGAGTATCTTGAAAACCCAAGTCACAAGGCACAACAATCCTTTTTACTGTTCTGTTTACTTTGTAGCGTTCAGCGAAAACAACGAATAAAAGTGTGTTTGTAAATCTTATCTATTTTTATCACGTCGATAATTGTACTTTCTTCTTGTGGATCAGCGTCTCTTTAATAGTCTTAAAATTGAACGATGAGCGATCACAGCATTGGGAATTTGTACTGCACTATTTTTAAGGCAAGTGTCTTGGCTTGGCGTTACATCACAGTCTTGTACCAAAGCGATCTTTGCTAGTTCACTTGTAACCAGTTCAGTGAAACATGTCTGTATGAACTTCACATTAGTCTCACTTCTAAAGCTTGACCTTCAAATAATCACATTTTCTATAGGCGTTTACTATATCACGACTGTAAGAGAAAACATTTGATACATTCAGCTTCACAATTATTCTCTGCGTGTCACTAAATTCTTTGGCAATCGTAACTCTTTTCCGGTTCTCTGCTGTTCTTGGATACGTAGTGAACTTGCTGTTTTTTACGTCTAACATTTATCAAATATCCATCTAATATAAATAATCTAAACAATCATTTACCAACCTACCTAACTAGACCTACCTATCGATCTATTTCTGTGTATTAAAATCTCTCTCAATATCTATGTCTATCCATCTATTGTCTGTACCTACCTAACCTACCTACCTACCTACCGAGAGAGAGAGAGAGAGAGAGAGAGAGAGAGAGAGAGAAGAGAGAGAAGGAGAGAGAGGAGAGAAGAGAGAGAGAGAGAGAGAGAGAGAGGGGGGGGGGAGATACTATCAAATATTCATCGATCAATTGTTTCAATCTTAGTTACATCCCTTTTTTCCCCACAAAGCGTCCTGGCTGTGAGGCTGCACTTGCATGTCCATCTCTTGGGCAATACATTTCCTTATCACTTACTAAGTTTCAATCACAGGGGCTGGCTATGTGCGTCAAATTAGGAATGATGCTCTTGGCTCCATAAACTCCGGAAGATATCTACATTAGCATTAATAGTTCTGTTTGATATAAAATGACACAGCAAATCCAGCTTCTAAACAGCAGAGAACAGTTCCATGAATATGAAAACCCGACGTCTCCTTGCGTGACCTCTCACCGCCGAGTGTTGACGGCGGCCTCTATCAAGATACTGCCACGCACATCTCGCGCCGAACTGGAGTCCAGTTTTTGTCCAGATAATTAAAACGTGTCTATTTTCACTCATATTATGCCGCTCATTTATTTGGCTTCAAGTTTAAGCCCATCTATGACGGGGGACGCAAAAGGTTTCTCTCGGGCACACGGGCGGCCGCGGCGGCGAGGCGCAAAACTACCTTCTTGGTGCCATATGGCAAGGCAACACTTCCAACTGCAGATGCGACGGGAAGACTGACACACGCAAAAGGCGCGGCCTCACACGACAACGGCCACGCTCTTAGTGGTCGCTCGGGCTCGATGGATCGGTCCTCGCGCCACCTGCGTCTTCGCCAACACTAGCTCTAATCCTTGGCAGAGTCCCACCGCCACTCAGCCAAGCTCCATTCTTTCTTTCCTCTCTCCAACACAAGAACAAAAAACAATAACAAAAAACACGAACACGCATATACACTCTTCCATTCTCTCCCTGCCTGTCTCGTTATGAGGTTTCAACTTCGATAAGACCGCCAGCGGTAATGGAGGATATGATATAACCAAGCTCATGCCAAATCTTTGACAGCCTTTGATAGCATAATCAACACTTGCATGCCCCCTTTCCACTGTCCCAGCTCTCTACTTTTAGCTGGCTATATTTGTGCTCGGCAACAAACTGCCCAACACACAACACTGTCATTTCGCTGGCCCTTGTCCCTCCCTTGGCCTATGCAAAACGTCAATGTCGCTCGCATGATATTTAGTCCCATTAAACAGCGGCCTACGTGGTCCCTTTACCCCTCCCCTTCTCCCCCCAGTCCCACTCCCGCTCCCGCTCTAAAATAGCTATCATCTGATTCGACAGAGTGACGTAACTTGCCAAACGGCGATGGGCGCTGTGGGCACAGTTAATTTCGCAACGGCGCTCGACACGAGACGCCTGATAGTACGAGTATGTTTTGGGTACTGCAGCCTCCACAGCCTACACGCGGCAACAGCGCACGTGAGCCGTCTGTCTCTTTCTCTTCCCCCCACCCCCCCCACCCCACCATCCATGCTAAATAGGGTATGTATATGTCGGAAGGAACAGGTTTTCAGCATACTATATAATTGGCCGTTCAAACGGAGCAGCAGCAATCCTCTGACATAAGCATCCAAAGAGGCTAATAACAATAATAACAAAAAACGATTCAACAAACTTTCCACAAAGGAAGAACAGAAATTAATAAGCCACAAAAAACATACCATTCACAACAAATGTAAATATGACGCAAATACCAAAACTGAAATGAGAAGCGAACAAGAGAAAGAAAAAATAGAGAAAAAAAAATACCAAGGTCCGTAGCCGCCGCCTCATCTACGTCCACCTCCACCTCCACCTCCACCTCCACCTCCACCTCCACCTCCACCTCCACCTCCACCTCCACCTCCACCTCCTCCTCCGTCCGAAATGCAGAGCGTTGCCCTCAAACCGCTCGGCCAATCTGTCACCGCCGCTCTCGACTTAGGAGGTGGCCTGATCTTTGGAACTCGGGATATAAATACGCAACTGGTTGGGGAATAAGAGGAAGACGAATCCCCGCTGTCTCGGGGAAGAGGGAAGAAGGGAGTGGGAAGAGGGGAAGGGGATGAATGGAGAGGGAGGAAACAGAGGGTGAATGGGAGGGGAAGAGGGGAAGGATGAATGAGGGAGGAAACAGAGGGTGAATGGGAGGGGAAGAGGGAAAGGGTGAACGGGAAGGGCGAGTGGGTAGGAAGCGGGAAAGGGGAAGGGTGAGTGGGAGGGAAGGGGGGTAGGGGAAAGGGAAGGGTAAGTGCGATTGGGAATAGGAAGGGGATTAAATATGAGACGGAGGGGAATGAGAGAGAGAAGGGTTAAAGGGAGGTGGAAGGGTTACAGGGGAAGAGGAAGGAAGAGAGGAGTACGGAAGACGGAGAAGAGGAGGAGGAAAAAGAGGAAGAGGAGGAGGAGGAGAAAAGACGGAGATGGCGAAGGGGGAAGGGATAGAGGATACAAGCGAAGAAAGGGGGTAGACGGGTAGGAATGGCAGGGTTAGATGGAAAGGGGGAGGGGGTGCGAGGGGCAAGGAGAGGGCCCCCTCAATCGATACCACATCGATCCTCTGCCTCGGCTTTTGACTGCATCCATTACAGCTCCCCTCATGGCCACCTGGGAAGACGATCGCCAGCTGGAGAGCACAGAGGTCCCGTCGTGGGTGGGGGCAGGGCGGGGGGAGGGGTGAATGAGGGATACAGGCTATTGGGTTCCCTACTCGAGCTCCCAGATGCTTCAACGGGGATTCTGCATACAAAGAAATTCCTAGTACACTATAAGAGCCATGTCAACATGGGATCCACGACATGCGCAATCACACTAGCGATTACACACGTGACTCATTACTGGTCTGCGCGAGGGTGTTGATTACTCCGTGTTTACAAAACCTGCAGCCCAAGGAGCGCCTGCAGACGAGACTTGCGCTTCCGCCCCCCACTTTGTTACACACATACAGTGAATGAATGAATGAGTGAGAGTGAGTGAGTGAGTGAGTGAGTGAGTGGAGTGAGTGAGTGAGTGAGTGAGTGAGTGAGTGAGTGAGAGAGTGAGAGAGTGAGTGAGAGAGAGAGAGAAGCTCCATTCACAGCCGTTCTCCCGTCGCCGCTTCCATCCAAAACGCAGTAGCCCGCAGAGCGAGGGCGCGCGTGTGCCTTTGGGAGAGTGGAGGTCACCGACGCGATAATGAGAGCGAGCGTTCTCGTAGTGATAGTCGGGGTTTAGCGGGCGAAGGTCATAGGCAACAGCAGTCGATGCCTTCTGACCCAACGCTTGTCATTCATGGTCGGGCAGACTACGTCACTTGTCCATTTTGTTTTTCCAACCTCATTACTTTTATTCGTCCCTTTGCTGTAGCGGATGTGACCTTTTCGCTGCAAGGATTATGATAATTGCGTTAAGATGCCGGCACCGTTGGCCTAGTTTATAATGCCCCTATTTCGTGCTTCCTCAGTTAATAAGAAAAGTCCCCTCCCGCAAAAAAGCAAGACAAAAGAAAGTTAGCTTCCTAACTAAAGGGCAGCTTGCGAATGTAGGCAACCTGTTCCCAGCCGCAACAGCACGCGAATCTGAGCAGACGTTCCCCTTGTATGGGCGCCCTTTTACAACCTCTAAACAAACACACTGTTGTAGCAATTGGTACGTGCGTCAACGTCCCCGGCCTCTCTTTCAGCGGCCAACAACACGGCAGAAACGGCCACATTCAGCTCATCTTCAGATCACACACTCAGCTCGAGTCACCCACAACACATTTCACGCTTGATGAAGCTGTTGAGAGGCTCTCCCGACAGGATCCCAATCTGCCCCTCGCTCGCTCATGACCCAGCGCGGAACATGACCCAGCCTAAGGACAAGCTTCTGACGCCTGTGCGAACTCCTTGACCCTCGCCAGAAGAGAAAGAGCTATTTTCTCTCTTGGCCGCCTCCCCTTGTCAACTGGCTCACTTCGGCGTGTAAATATCAGCCATCACATGTTGGGCCACGCCATCGCGAGCGCCCCAACAAGCCTTAGAAACGGAGCCGTTACACAAGGAAAATAATATAGGCACACCTGAGACCCCGCGTGCCATTCCCCTCGGCCCCGGTGGTCAACAGCCAAAACTTCCGGCGTGCCCGACTGCGCCATCGAGGTCAACGAGGACTCCCCCCTCCTCCTAAGACCCACCCCTCTCCCACTTCAACACTCACAGATTTACACAATCCCGAGATACCTCTCCGGGGCCTACTGCCCCAACCGCGCACTTGGCACTCTCTCCTTGGGGCACCTCCTCCGCCTGAGGGAGGGGGGGAGGAGGGGAGGGGGTCGTCGCCACGCAGGGTAGTAACACCACCCTTTGCCATCATATCGCACCATCAAAGCTTAGAATAGAAACATTGAGACAAATCCTTTCTCTTCCCCAGCCACCTGCATATACACACTTGTTTATACCAACAAACACTGGAATCATTTCCGATATATTTCGTAACGTCCGCGAACAAAACAAATGCGTATATGTGCGTGTGTGGGGGGAGGGAGTTTGTGTATGTGTATGTGTATGTGCGTATGTACTTTGTGAATGTGATGAGTGCCGTGGCGCGTGTCCGAGTGCGTGCGTGCGTGTCCGAGTGCGTGGGCGCGTGTACGAGTGCGTGGGCGCGTGTACGAGTGCGTGGGCGCGTGTACGAGTGCGTGGGCGCGTGTACGAGTGCGTGGTGCGCGTGTACGAGTGCGTGGGCGCGTCTACGAGTGCGTGGCCGCGCGTGTACGAGTGTGTGTGCGCGCGTGTACGAATTGTGGCGTGCGGCGGCGTGTACAAGTGTGTGCGCGGGTGTACAAGTGTGTGCGCGGTGTACAAGTGTGCGCGCGCGTGTACGAGTGTGGCGCGCGTGTACGAGTGTGTGCGCGCGGCTGTACGAGTGGTCTGTGCGTGTGTACGAGTGCGTCGTGTCCAACCGTGCGTGCGTAGTATATCAGTAATGCCCACCCCTCTAACACCTACACCCAAGAAGCTTAATCAAACCATCCCTACCCAATATCTGATGGAAAAAAACTAAATTAATAATCAAAATCGAAGCCCGCTTCACCTGCACGGCATTTTGGTTGCCATGACGCCAAGGCTCAGAAACCCAACCAATGCGCTTCTATAGCACGGACCTCGCATGCACACGCAGGAAAAGGCATCAGTGGAAACGAAATTGGAGGATCTTTCCTTTAAAAAAAAAAAATCTTCCTTTACTTACAATTTGCCTTTAATATATATATATATATATATATATATATATATATATATATATATATATATATAATTATTATTTTATTTTTTTTTTTTTTTTTTTTTTTTTTTTTTTGGGGGGGGGGGTGGGGGTTAGGATCTCTCTACCGTAAATCACATTCAGCGGGGGGGGGGGGGGGGGGGGAAGAGAGAGAGAGAGAGAGAGAGAGAGGAGAGAGAGAGAGAGAGAGAGAGAGAGAGAGAGAGAGAGAGAAGAGAGAGAGGAGAGAGA